GCATTTCTGGTTTATGGTTGAGGCCGTTAGGTTCCTGTGTGCGATGAACAGTTGTGGTTGTGGTGTGAGTGGGTCTGTGTGAAGAAGACAACCACTGGGTGACAACAGCAAGCAGCAACCGTGCTGGCGCCGGTTCCTTGTCCTGCTCCCCAATGTCTCTGCAGTTCCCAGAGCAGCTGGGATCGGTAGCACGGCGCTGCTGTGTCCTCGGTTATTTCTAGGCAAGGGCTGGTTTTTGATCAGATTCTCCAGCCCTTGTCTGGCTGCAATGAGATCTGACCCGAGGGATGGAGAGGTTTTTCTTGGCTGTGAACTGGGCTGTCCCAGTTAGCTCAGCAAATTAAACCAGCGTTTCATTCTGGAGCAAAGAATATCGCGTGCTTAAGAGCCTTCCTTATTTGCTCTGAATTTTCTTGTGCGAGGCTAATTCCTTCCAAGTTAATGCGCAATTATAACATCAGAGGGAAGCTATGTTACAAAATCCAATCAGTCAATGGTGGTGATTAAACGATCCTTCAGGAAGGGCTCACGGAGCCGATGTTTCTGCAGCCTGGGCAGGGATCCTTCCGACAGCGAAGGAGGCTCCGGGCTTTGTTATTCTCTGTGGCCTGGTTACAAAGCTGCGCTCTGCAGAGCTGAATCCAGTGTGAATGCACATCTCTTGGAGGAGCAGATTCGCTGGGCACGGTGTCAGATCTCTGGATTTTGGAATGGTTTCACGGGGATTAGCTGGGAGAAGGGAGGTGTGGGTGTAAATCAGGGAATTTGGACTTTGGTGGGTTCAGAAGTAAACGGGACCGATTCTCACTTATTTTTTTGCCTGTCTTTTACACCGGTAGTGCAATGCCTTGACACTAGAGTGATTTTACACCCTCTTAAATCTCTTTTACTTTGTGTGAGAGACAGAGGAGTGCAGATGAAGCACAGATCTGGGAGCTTTCAGTATTTTCCCCTTTCCCCACGCTCCATCCCAGCTCTCTGGCCACACAGGTACTTCATTAGTGCCACCTCGTCCCCTCCATCTGCAACACGAGGGACAGGGGCTGTGCTTGAGGTACCAGCTCCCTGCGTCGCCCTGCTCTGCGCCCACAGCTGGATGTGCCTCGGCACATCTGTAATGTGTATAAGAAGGGAGTGATGTGTGAATAAGGGAGTGATGTGTGACTAAGGGAGTGATGTGCTCTGAATCCAGCATCTCCCCTTGTGCCCACAGAGCCTTCGCTTACACTGCCCTTCCTTGTAGCTGCTATGTGTGTGTGCACCAATTTGTGCTGTGCAGGGGCTTGGAAGGATGAAAATTCATCTTTATGTCTTTCCATGTACGGGTATGTGCACGTCCGTGCAGGCAGCCCTGGTCGTTACAGCAGCCGACCCCAGGCAGCCTGCGAGAGCAGACAAAGGCTGAGCTGGCAGCGCTATTAATTTTTCACAAAAAAGAAATCTTAACATTAAAAATAGAAAAAAAAAATCTCTGATGATAAACTCTGCAGTGGTGAAATTCAAAGCAAATAATTTCGCTGAGCTCCTTGATGTAGAAATCATTACTGCCATCCTCTGCTGTATTAAAAGAGAAAAAGCCCGTGCTGTCGGAGCCTGGTTTAGCATGCAATTAGCACTGACAGAACAAGTGCCTGCAAGTATTTATCAACAAGCCCAAAGCCAAGGTCTGGGAAACGTTGCAGAGGTAATGTATTACTCATGAATACCGTACTTTATTCTGGAATAGTTCGTACATGCCTTATTCATAACAGCCAAAGTCATGCATGTAATTAAATTTAGGTAAATAACCCAACTGGCTGCGGCTGAAAAGCAACCGAGGAGCAAACTGTGGAACCTGGGCTCGTGTCGGTCGGGAGCTGCATTTCAGCTCCTGCTGCAAAGGAAAGGCACGGGAGAAGCTTCTGGATCTTCAGTTCATGCTTAGGATTAATGCACAGAACACAGAATCACAGAGCATTAGGGATTGGAAGGGACCTCCAAAGCTCATCCAGTCCAATCCCCCTGCCGGAGCAGGAACACCCAGATGAGGTTACACAGGAAGGCGTCCAGGCGGGTTTTGAATGTCTGCAGAGAAGGAGACTCCACAACCTCTCTGGGCAGCCTGGGCCAGGGCTCTGTCACCCTCACTGAGAAGAAGTTTCTTCTCCAATTTAGTGGAACCTCCTGTGTTCCAGTTTGTGTCCGTTACCCCTTGTCCTATCATTGTTTGTCACCGAGAAGAGCCTGGCTCCATCCTCGTGACACTCACCCTTTAAATATTTATAACCATGAATGAGGTCTCCCCTCAGTCTCCTCTTCTGCAAACTAAAGAGCCCCAGCTCCCTCAGCCGCTCCTCATAAGGGAGATGCTCCACTCCCTTGATCATCTTTGTAGCCCTACGCTGGACTCTCTCCAGCAGTTCCTGTCCTTCTTGAGCTGAGGGGCCCAGAACTGGACACAATATTCCAGATGCGGTCTCACCAGGGCAGAGTAGAGGGGGAGGAGAACCTCTCTGCCCTACAACCACCCCCCTCCTGATACACCCCAGGATGCCATTGGCCTTCTTGGCCACAAGGGCAATGCAGGGCCAGCTCTGTTCGGTGCCTTCCCGAGCATTTTCAGAGAGGTTTCCATCACCAACAGAGGCAGAGAGGGGCAGCGGGGGTCCCGTTGTGCACCCATGTTTGATCTGGAGCAGAAAGCCGGGGTTCACCACCGCCAGCCTTGAGGACTCACCCCCGATGGCTCTGTAGGGACCTGCACCTCCAGCCTCTCAGTGGAGGTGGAGGTGGCTCTCCTCCAAACCTCGCACCCCACATTGTGCACCCATGAGCTGTTGAGCTGTGTCGAGTGTGTGTGTGTTAGAGCGATTATGGGTTTTCATCAGCTGGCTGAAGGGGATGGATGAAATGGAGCGATGGCTGCGCTCCTTGACTTGCAGCTGTATCGAGCGGCGCTCAAGCTGTGTTTTGTAGTCGCTTGTGCCTTTCCATGGGCGTTCCTGGAAGTTAATCACTGTAATGAGCAAATGCATTTGCCCTTCCCCTTTTAAAGGCTGTGACCTGATGTTCTCCTCCCGCCCCAAAGATGGAGAGCAAAGAGGGGAAGAGCAAAAGGAAGGCAAGGCAACAAGCTGTGGGTAACTTAAGGTGCTACAACCACTTCCAAGGCCCGTCTGTTTCCCCAGGTTTTTGTGGTTTGTCCCTTCTGTCGGTGCTGTGTGGAGAATTCTCACTGCACGGATGCATGGAAATCAGTGGCGCTGCCCTGGGCACTGAGGCATCTCACCTGATTTTGAGCACTCTGAGGTGTCTCAGCTACATCTCGATGGGCAGAGCCACCATCTGGAGGAGCTTCTCCTTCTCCGGTGATGGGAAGCATGGAGCTATGGGATCCCAACACGAGCTTGACAGCCAAAACATGCAAAAATTGGAGTTTTCTTCAGTTTCTTTTTAAGCTCAAGTCACCCTAAGGGTGAAGGGTACCATCACACAGCCGTGTTTGGGCTGATGGTGTCTCTATGAATTAACTACATTTTGGAGAAGCACGATAGGATTTCTCACCAGTGAGAGAGTTGATTTTATTCCATGTAAATGGGATGCTTTGCTCTTTCTCCTGTCAAGGCCTGGGGATCAAATCCTGCCATGGTGTTTTGGTTTCCAGGCACATACCCACATCCTACAGCACCACAAGGTCTGGCAGAGCATCACTGGGCTCTGCTCGGATAAATCCATGTATTATCAGGGCAAAAGGGGGTTCACTGACAGGGCCTGGGGGAGCCCTTGCCTGACACTTGGCCATGGCATTACAAGTCTTTCACTTTTATTCTGAGTTTATTTTGAGATAGGGGTGTTCATTCTCCCTGGACGTGGATGTGCTGGTAAATCCCCACCGTTGTGAAAGCTTCTGTAATATTTACTTGACGTTTGGCCATCCCAAGTACGTCTTTGCTTTCCCAAATAGGGATGAGCTAATAACATCCCCTGTCCTCAAAAGCCCTTTTAAAGCCACAGTTGATATCCTGTTTTGTTTTCTTTGGCTGGAAGGGGTTTGATTGCTTTTGTGTGCAGTCACGTATTGCTCAGTTCCAAAAATGAAGTGGGTTAGAAAGAGCTCCCTTGGGTGAAACCAGGGGCTTAAAAAAGAATGCAAATTTGTTCACCAAACCAAGAAAACTGCAGCTCCCCATTGCACTGAGGTCCAAGTGTGGAGCCTCTGCTTGCTCCATCCCCTGCAGTGGCATCCACAGGGGCAGGTGTTTGCCCATCTCATCCAGAAACACGGGCACGTTTGTGCACCCCGTGTGTTTTGTGCATCTACGGAGAATCAGCTTCTCACATCTTTGAGAAGACCCAGCCACGCTGAACTGTCAGTGTTACAAGCTGGAAGTTCATACGTTTAGAAACGTCGATAAAAAACCATCATTAGCGAAGGAAATTATTGTCTCTTCTTATGTTGTGCCTTAAACAGGGCTCTGCGTGTAGCTCGCTTAATTTGCTTTCGTTGTCAACCCGGTTGGTCGTTGCCAGAAGCATCTTTAGTACTGGAGGAGCTGGGGAATGTGTTTAGAAGTCGTTTTACATGAAAATCAATGAAGTTGCTTCCCTCTGCAGGACGTGTCACAGGCTGGAGAATGTCGTTGTCATTTAAACATTGTCTTTTCAAAGTGTGGATATTTAAACCCTGTCGTTTTCTAATGACTTCAGGAGGGGTGACGTGCTTTCAAAGTACAGTTCTCTGCAAAATAACCATAAAAGTAGCACTTCAGCTTTCATCGAGTTGTTCCTCTGGTGTTCCCAAATTTACATCTGCTCATAGAAAACCTGTTGGTTTATTTTTGCTACCCTCTGATGTGTGGGTCTTTTCAATCTGTCAATGATCACCGGTAATGAGGTTGGTGGTTTTCAAGTGAGGATCAGTCCAGCTCTGTTTCCCAAAGCTGGACGAGGTTGAGGGTTGTCACAAGTTCTTGTGCTGGGGTGACAAGCAGACACTGACTGACTCCTTCTTCTCGTTTCAGGAGTGGCCACACGTTACTTGCCTTCTGGTTTTCCCGTCAAGAAGGAAAATTAAATCGACAGCAGACTATTGAACTGGGACATCACATTCTGAAAGCACACATTTTTAAGGTAACCAAAACGAAAATGAAGGCTCACGCCAACTCCATCCCTGCTGTGTAAAATCTGCCGGCGCCGGCAGCGTTCGGCCTCTTCTTGTTTTAAGGTGGCTGCAAGAAGTGTGATTGCTTTGGGCTGCTGAAATGTGTAGAAAATTGGCAGTGATGTGTAAGAAATCCTTGAAATTAAACCGTCCTTCAGACTGTAAATTCAGCAGATAGCCCCCTTGCCTAAAAGTACTCTTCTACCATAAGAGGTTTCTTCCCATGTAAGCTGAGGTCACAGAATCACAGAATCACAGAATCCCAGAACGTTAGGGATTGGAAGGGACCTCCAAAGCTCATCCAGTCCAATCCCCCTGCCGGAGCAGGAACACCCAGATGAGGTTACACAGGAAGGCGTCCAGGCGGGTTTTGAATGTCTGCAGAGAAGGAGACTCCACAACCTCTCTGGGCAGCCTGGGCCAGGGCTCTGTCACCCTCACTGAGAAGAAGTTTCTTCTCCAGTTTCAGTGGAACCTCCTGTGTTCCAGTTTGTGTCCGTTACCCTTTGTCCTATCATTGTTTGTCACCGAGAAGAGCCTGGCTCCATCCTCGTGACACCCTTTAAATATTTATAACCATGAATGAGGTCTCCCCTCAGTCTCCTCTTCTGCAAACTAAAGAGCCCCAGCTCCCTCAGCCGCTCCTCATAAGGGAGATGCTCCACTCCCTTCATCATCTTTGTAGCCCTACGCTGGGTCCTTGTAGCAACATCTGGAAATCATTTAAAAGGAGGGGTTTTGAAGAATCCAAAATTCAGGTTGCAAAGGGAAGATTGGATGGTCCTTGCAGTGTCTTGATTTTACTCTTCATTTTACTCTTCACACAGACATTTAAGACCTGGGTAATTAAAAGGCAAACTTGGATGTGAGCACCAATATGACCCATAAATTCGATACCATTCTGTTGCCTGTTGGCCCATATACCAGAAGACGGAAATGAGAGGATGGATTTGTAAGGTCACAGGAAATACAGAATTTACCGTGAATAAATTTTAAATTAAATTGATTTTCAATTCTTAGTCATTTTTAAATAAATTAGAATCTGTGAGTGTTTAATACTGGTAAAAATGAGGCTGTATTTTTATCTGATCTGCATATGATTTTATAGGCTTAAGAACTTCAGCAGCCCTGTATTTCTGGAGCAAGCAGACAGTTTGTGCCTTGTGTCGGTCCTGTTGGATTGATTTATTGAGTTCCCTGTGCTGCGTTCACCATGGGGTGCAGCAGCAAAGTCTCCTCCTTTGGGAACACGATGGCTGGAGCCAAAGGGAAGAGCCCCACGTTGGTGCAGTTTTACCCCATCAGTGTCTGATTTTCAAATTTCGAGTTGTGTTCCCAAGGCAGTGTGTAATTTTCAAATTTTGCACTACATTTAGCAGTGGGTTTACTGCTCGGCTGCCATTTACATCTAAATCTGGTTCCAAATCTCCTTCGTTTCACACTTCCATGGTAGAAACAAATAACAGGGTTTCGGGCTCTAAACAAACGACAATTTTCATGAAGTGGACAAGTTGCCTGTAGATTCCAGATTTCACTGAGCAATATTTACAATAGTAGAAAATGCCAATTAGCATATGAAAAATGTCAGCACAGCCTTCTGTTTCTGATCACTCCGCAAAATCCTTGGTTTTGCAACACTGCAGTCAGAACAGTCGTCTTGGTGACAGATAAACATAACTGTGTGGTATTCGGAAGTGCTCTATGAAAGGGTTTGGATTAACGGGATTAGAAATACTGGAAAACTTAACGTCTTTCATTTTTCCTTCAATAGGTTTATTTTTATTCTTTTTTTTTTCCACAAGTGTTCGCTGAAGATTTGTGTGGTTTTCCTGAGTGAAACAATTGCTGCAGTAGTTTTTGGAGGAGGCATTGAGCTGGGATATTGCAGACCATGTTTAAGATCTTGAATATTCTTTAAAGAAAACATTTCCAAGAGCGCGTACACAGACTCCTCATCCTGCTGTACTGCCCATATTTGTTTTAAACAAGAATTTTGGTTCCACTCAGGCTCTTCATTCTGTCTGATCTTTTGCTGAGCCGTTACCAGTGTGGCGTGGCTTTGCTGCCAAGCAGGGAGCATCTCAGGTCATCGATTCCCTGGGTTTTTCCCCGAGTATCGTGTTATGGCAGCAGCTTTCCGCAGACACAAAGTTCCTAATTTTGAAGGTATTTGTGGAGGCCTGGTGCCATTGTAATTCCATTTTATTTACCCATCGTGAGGCAGGAGAGGATTAGAACAGGGCTAAAGCATTTTGTGCTCTCTACTGAGAGTTCACTGTAGAGACAGACTTTGATTGAACAGTGCAGAAAACTTCTTTCTCTTTCCCCAATCCCAACCAGTTCGAATCCACCGACACCTTGTGCAAGGTAACGATGGGAAACTTGGGATTTCCAGGTGAAAATGTCAGTGATGCGCAGTCAGAAGGCGATGACCTGATGGATCGGTGCAGTTTTCACACTCCCTCCTTCGCTTGGTGGCAAAGATCGGCCGGTTTGCTTTTTTAAACACAAACATTCTCAGTTTGGGTAGGGACAAAAAAAAAAGTACAACTGTTTTAGTCTTTTAAAGCAATTACCAGTCTTAACAGGAGCATATGGAAACCCAGCTTGGCAAGCCTGGCGTGGAATGAAAGGGCAAGGAGAGAAATGTGCAGTAATGGTACAAGAAGACCCGAACTTCAGGCTGACGTATGGTTTGCAGATCAACCAAAGAGAAGTCTTTAATTTCATCTTAAATTAGTTAGCTAAAATGTCAGTAATCCAGAAATGGGTGTCCTTCATCCCCAAGCTGAGAATGTAATGATAATTGCAGGCAGAAACACTCAGTGTGACAGCTACGGGTACGTAAAGGTGTCTGATACAGCCTGAGAAACAGCGTGGGGAAGACCTTGTGTTGGAGGTGCCAATGGCCAAACAGCAGAGGAAGCGAGAAGTGAGAAATGAAGGATGCTGAGAGTACAGGAGAGGAAAAACAAGCTTGAAAGCCGGGGTTGTGTGGGGTTGGCAGAGTCATTCAACTGAACCCTGCCTTGGTCCCGTGTTGGGTGGTCTCAGCGAAGTGGAAACCCCTCGTGGTGTTTGGGTTTGACGTTATGTCAAATTAGGATTTGCTTTTGCTGGAGGATTCAACCTGCTTTCCAGTTCTGGGCAGAAAAGGGAAGCAGAAAAGGACGGCGCTGTCTGTAAAATAAGGAAAAAAGGGCATTTTTGTTTCGGCAGCAGGATGCTAATGGTGTCGAGTGTATTTATTCTTTAAAGGATAAATGTGATCTTTTCTGTCTTGCCCTAATATCTAAGTATAGATGTTCTAATACAGTGGTTAAGATTTTTATAGCGTATGTGATTATCTGCAGATGGCTATTCTGAAAATACATACCCTTCCCCTCAGTCCTGATGGTGACTCAAACAGCTCATTGCTGGCTTTGATGGCATTATAACTATTTTAAAATTATTTTAACCGTTTATTATAAAATTGTTTCCCATTTGTCGAATTACACTGTACCGAGCCCACTGAAATTTAATACTGACCTCTCGTGCCCTGTATTGTGTCGTTTCAAAAGCAGCGTTTAATGGTGGCTAAAATTCCTGAGCTCTTTTTCTCCCCCTTAACACAAGCAGCTATTTTCCTCCGCTGAGCTCCCAGAATGTTGAAGGAGACGAGCGCATGGAGTTGTTATTTATAAGAGCTTGTCTAATCTGTTGCTTCTTTTTATGGTAAAACCGTTTCAAGTGACAGATCTGTTGATGGCTGCTGCGATGCCGCTTCGGAATATCTTCACACGTTGGTGTTAGAGGTCTGCAACTGAGGGCAGCAGCGGGCTCGGCTGATGATTCCTGCACGTCTTGGAGGACACAAATCCCACCTTTTCCTGCTGCTTTTCCTCCCACCGCCCCTGTCAGTCTGTCGGACAAAAGATTTCCCAAGCCGAAATGTGCCCCTGCTGCTTTGCGCAGATAGAAATGACCACACGGCGCGCGAGGAAGCAGCAGTCGGGTTTTGCATGTCAAAACAGAATTACAGATGTCTGTGGGGTTTCCATGGAAACAGCAGACTTTAATGGCAAATCGATAGCAGAGCAGCAGCATCCAGAGCGTCCCCGCGTCGCGCAGCGGAGCACAACACGCAGCCAAGCTCTGAGCTGGAGCTGCTGCAAACCCGGCTTCGATCCAGCTCTTTGCTCCCGTGTGTTGGCTGCACAGCAATTACTGCACCTTCAATAGGAGTGAGGGAAACCTGCTTAACAGTTCTGTGCTCAGCCAGGCGGTGTTGCTGGAAAAAGATGTCAAATCTCTGTGTATTACGTGTAGCCTGGTCGCAGACACCAGCCTTTTGGCTGGAGAGGATCTGGTGTGAGATGGGGAACACTGGTCAAGGCTATGGTTGAGACTTCCTTAGTTTATCTTATTGTGAGCAGATACTGTCTTCTAGTTTAACTGTCTGAATAATAAGGAAGCTCTGTGAATCAGTTCTGCCAAAATAACGTGTACTTTATTAAAGAAGAACAAAAAGAAACAGGCTTGACGTTTTCTGAGGGTGTTGGATGGTTCTACATCACTCACAGTTTAATCCTGCTGTTCCTGCACCTTGGGAATGGCTATAGCACCTCTGAAAGTTATTTTCTCCAGGCTTACTAATTCACTACAAAGGTCGGATGTGGCAAGTTGTCACATTATCCTGTGTGTAACTGTGAATGTCTTGAAACTCTTTTGAAGTCCCAGCAGGATCTGCCCAGTGTAAATGAGCCTATTTGTAAGCTTACATCTAAGTCGTCCTTTCTTTTTTAGGGGCTGAGTAAAAAAGTTGGGGTATCTTCCTCCATCCTGCAAGGGCTTTGGATCTCCTACAGCACCGAAGGTCTTTCGATGGCTTTGGCATCTCTGAGAAACCTCTACACCCCAAACATAAAGGTACAGGTACTCTTCTACTTTGGCCAGGGATCTCCTTTTAATTGCAGCCAGTGAATAGTAGATTTGGTTACGTTTTGTCTCCCCAAAAATGTGGGATGCTGTGTTGAAATTTGACTGCCCCATACAGGGCTCTGGCTCAGACAAGCACTGATTTGGAGGCAACACCGAACAACGGCACGGGCTGGTTCAGGTGCTTCGTGCCCATTTGCATTGGTACGGATGGATGTGTCAGCTCAAGTGACTTTGTCCCTACAGCAGAGAGGATTTCGGGCAGCGATAGAGATGTCAAACTGCCCTTCATCTGGAAGGGTGTTTGCCCCAGCTCCTTCCCATAGGGGTGAAAATGCCTAAAATGGGACCTTGCATTTGGCAAGAGTCTTTACTGGGCATTTTATGTCCTTTGCTGCTTGCTTGGATATGTGCAAAGGTTTAAATTCTGTTGTTGCCTTGCCAGTGAGCTGATGTCTCTCCATAAAGCTCAGCTAACAGGAGCTCTATTTCCCTGCGCAGGTCAGTCGGTTGCTGATTTTAGGAGGTGCAAACGTGAATTACCGGACTGAGGTTCTGAACAACGCCCCCATTCTGTGCGTCCAATCTCACCTGGGTTACACGGAGATGGTGGCTTTGCTCTTGGAGTTTGGGGCCAACGTCGACGCCGCTTCGGAAAGCGGCCTCACCCCCCTTGGCTACGCGGCTGCTGCTGGGTTCCTGAGCATCGTTGTGCTGCTGTGCAAGAAACGGGCCAAGGTAGAGTGACCACGTTCCTCTAAAAGCTGATTTAAACTATTCCACGTCTATGCAAGGCTGGGCACAAGCTGCAAGCAGGGTACATTAATGCTCATTAAAGAACGTCCTCTGCAGATGAAGTCGGGATGCAGCTGCTCGGAGGTGGCTTTTCTGCTAAAATGTGGTGACTTTTCTGCTAAAATGTGATGGTTTTGAAAACCTCACATTGACACCAAAGCTCAGTAACTCCTGAGGGTCTGTACTGAGTGTTTGGAGCTGGGGTCTGAGATAGGAACCCCCAAATCGCACCCCCAGTGGCCTGTGAAAGGATGCTCTGGAGAAGCCCTTGAACCTCACGAGGTTAAACCAGCAACGTTGCTCTTGCAGCACAAAGCATTCCTTGAATATCTCCGTGAGACACATTTTCCAAAAACTTCTATCAAGCCTGTCCTAGAAAAATACGCTTTGTTTAGCTCTGTGGTTTGGAGTTTTAATTGTGTGTAATGAGTCAAGTTGAAATATTTTGTCGAAGAAGAAATTGCGGTGACTTTTGAAGTGGAGCCTCCTGGAAACAATTTGTGGTTTCTCTGTACGTTTAGCGTCAGTTCAAAAAGCAAAATATGGGTTTGTGTAGTTTTGGTATGAAATCTGGGATGACTGAGGGACCAGTTTAGATCTTGCTGTGCTGTCTGTAGTAATGCAAGGACAGAATGAAGGGAAAAATAGAGTTCTGCTTTTCCTGGGATATTTTGAGGGAGAATTGGGTGAGTCTGATACTTGTTGGTAAGAAGCAGCAGGATCCTCTGCGAACAGGAATATTTGGGCTACAAAATGCAATGCTAAAGCCCTGCCACTCACAGCTGTCCTTGAGTATCCCTACCTGTGTTGAGGAAATACCCCCAGACCTGCTGGGTTTAGTTTGAAGGCTGAGATGTTCGATTCTGGAAAGCTGAGAAATTAGAAATACAAGAAATATTTCTTGTACTGTATTAATAGTATTTATATATTTATATTTCCACATGTGTTATATTAATACAATTTATATTATTAGAATATATTAATAAAATCATTACTTCCTATATTTATAGTATGAGAAGTAACCTATTGCAGGGCACTGAAGGGGTTACCCAGCAGCAGCTGATGTGCCTGTCCTGGTTTCTCCAAGTTACTGCTGTTGGGATAGGACCTAGAAATCCCAGTTGAGGTATTGAGGCATCGAGTGAAACCATGCCCCGTCCTGAAAAGCCGACCAAATCCGTTCCTGCAGGGCTGCCAAGCGCAATCTCTGTTTCCTATTGATTTCTCCCTGCACTGGGTCCACGCTGTGCGTTCAACCGCGGGCTGACGCGCTTCTGTGTCTCTCAAAAGAAATGGTATCTGGAAAAGGAGCTGGTTTTCCTGCTGTAGATTAGGATAAAGGCGGTGATATCGGTGTGTACGATTTCAGTCTGCAAGAAGACACGGTTGCTTGACTTCAGGACGCAAAGGGGAAAGTGCTTTTGCAGCCTTTGAGTCTGAAGAAAACTGAACAAAGTTAAAAATTAGGGTAACTTATCCAAAGCAAACACTTGTGGCCAAGAGGATGCCTAAGCCTGGGGCAGAGTTGCTTTGGGAATGGTTGTTTGCTGGTTGGGGAAGGGATAGTTTACCAGAAAAATGCACATTTTGCACTTGTGGCATTATTTTGAAACTGGGACTGGAAACTCTGAAGAAACGAAGACGTTTTGCCCGTGATTTGCCTTAATTTTGCTGTCTCTTTTCAAGGTGGATCACTTGGACAAAAACGGTCAGTGCGCTCTGGTCCACGCTGCTCTCAGAGGCCACTTGGAGGTGGTGAAGTTCTTGATCCAGTGCGACTGGACCATGGCCGGGCAGCAGCAGGGAGTGTTCAAGAAGAGCCACGCCATCCAGCAAGCCCTGATCGCCGCAGCCAGCATGGGTTACACCGAGGTGAGCCCCACCAGCACATCACAGCCTCGGCAGGGTGGGAAACCAAGGGTTGACCATGCTAAAACATGGAGCAAAGAGGGTCTTGGAGGCGGAGGCAGTGCCTCTGTCCTACTCTTCCTCTCCTCCCCAGGCTGCAGGGCTCATGGATCCCTCAGCAAACCCTGTGGTCTGGGCAGGCATCCAGGAGAGGAAGCGTAACGAGGCTTTAAGTTGTTGGAATAAACCTTGAAGCAAGGGCGTCTTGTTCGTGCCGCTCCCCCGGCGCTGTTCGGGGAGCGTGAGACCACGCAGGTTTGGGCTCTGTGCTGGAGGAGAGGAGATCTGAAGAGCTTCCTATCGCACCGATAAATGTTGGTGATGTGGAAAATTATGTATGTTTTCCCACCGAGAGGATTTGAGGTCTTGAAGGACTTTTGTACCGGTTGATTTCTTTGCTAAATTGAGCTCCTCTCATTTACTTGAGTTGAGATTTTTGCTTTTGTTAAGCGTAATCCATGAAAACACAGGTAATGTGCTCAGATCAGAGGAGCTGATTAAAGGAAGCTGGGAAATTCTTATTAGCTGAAGTGGCTGTGAGTTGAACTGACGAGAAGCAGATGTGACTTCAAAACCCTAAAGATCTGTGTGCTGGGGACATAATTTGTAGCAGGGCATGGAGCTTTTGAAATGGGAATATCCTGCAAATAATACTGTTCATTTTTATAAGCTATGGAAGGTGGTTTTGGAATTGTTTAATGTTTCTGTTGTACCATAAAAGGTCTGTGGCTACTGACAGAAATACTGCAGTTCCCTGTTTGGAGGTGCTTGCAGTCATAGGAGATGCGAGCTGATGATTAATTTGCTCTTTTTTTCTGACTTTGGTGGTAAAGTGAGCATTTAGCTTATTTATAAAGGGATCTGAGTCACTGGTGGAGCCATGCTGGAGTCCTTGCTGTGATTACTCCCTGGTGTAACCACACCAGACGTAGCTTTACACTTGGGTCAGGCAACACGGGGTGCACTGAGCAGCACAGCACCCATCTTGGGGTCAGTGAGCACACGAGGGGGTTGTTACACCAAGCTCACACCTCCCATCAGCCGGCAACACATGCTCAAGGTGTAAGTACCATGGGAATCACAACAGCATCTTCCGCATAGGCGCTCCCCTGGGTTTCCAGCTCCCCCGTGCTGCTGTCATTCCCGATGTCCCATTTAGCACCAGAGCATCACTGGCAGGGACAAGGGAGTGACACTCGTCACCGAAATCCCTGCTCCCCTGCACTGGCGCCTCTCTTAACCGGTGCCTGCAGGCATTGGGGCAGGCATGGCCTCCTCCCAGGTACTCAACAAGGGCTCGCTGTAGCCCAGACCCCAGCAGATGGTTGTTTCTCCTAGAATGAGAAAAATTACCTTGTGCTACAATCACTAAAGTAAAATCTCCGTTATCTTTGCTTTCTCACACCATGTGATCCAAACACTGACGTTTTGGGCCAGTTATCAGCCAATTAAATCCTTTCGTTTACCTTTTAAAGAAGTTAATTTGCTTCTCTGGGGTCTCAAGCCTCCAGAGCTCAAATTAAAATACAGTGGAAGTCTTTTCAGCTTTCTGCTTAAAGCTGATACTTGCTAGAAAGGAGCTGATAGTTTCTGGAAGTGACTTCATCTTGGCTGGAGCTTAAGATAGCGAAGAGGCAAACGCTTATAACTGCAACGTTACATCACTTATCTGTGACTCGGTTTCCCCAGCAGTAAAAGGGGGCAGTGGTACTCGCTGCACCCCACCGGGTGAGGGCTGATACGGGTGGACACCTCGGTGTTTCCTCACTGCTTCCAGCTCAGCCTAGGGACGAAGGCGCTGGGTCATCTGCAGCAGAAAAGGCACGGTTATAAGGAACCAGCGCCGCGAAGACTCGTCACGGATGGGTTTATCAAGTCACTTGGGGTTTATTCTGCTTGCACAGGGCAGCAGGTTCAGTGATTGATCTCTGGAAGAATATTTACTTGAGCTCAGGGTGCCAGGCAGGGACTGCTCCTGTTCCTCTGTGTGTTCAGAGCGGCTCGTGTGGAGATGTCAGCAGTTTATATATAACGCATCCCAGTTCGTGAGCTGACATGTCGTTTTGTTGCAGATTGTCTCCTACCTGCTCGATCTTCCAGAAAAAGACGAAGAGGAGGTGGAGCGAGCACAAATCAACAGCTTTGACAGCCTTTGGGGAGAGACAGGTGATTTCTGTAGACGCTGCAGCTTCTTCTCGCACGTTTGTGTTTGTGTTTATGGGCTCGCCGTCACCTGGGGCATCCCTGAGCCCTGCTTTCCTTTGGATGAAGGGAGAAGGATCATCCTCTGATTTCAGTTCGGGTGATTACAGGTGCTAAGGTGGAGCTTGCACTCAGCTCAACTCAAACAGAAACATTTGGCTTTGGGAAATCCTGAGCTTCTGCGGCTCCTGGCACTTCGCAGGGGTGCGCAGGCGTGGGGCATCTGTGACCACTGATTTCTCTGAAACGTCTCCCATTAAGTGAGATGGACACAGAATTCTGCTCTTTCTCTCTTGGTATTTGGCACATTTATCAAAAGCATGTCCCTGTTTCCCCTTCCCCCTTACATGCAGCACTATGACTGCTCAATCATCCATAGATTTCCTATAAATTTCCCAATATTTAGCACCCGGTAATTAAACAAATGTCCTTTTGTGCAACACTGTAGTTTTGAATTGATGGGCGTAATACAGAAGCCCTACTTTCCTCAACAAAAGCACCCATTTGCCCTTTCCACTTCACACACGTGAGTCGCACCATCACCTCCATTTCTCGAGATATTCAAACTTGGAGTTGTTAGCTTTTAACTCCAATAACCTCGTAAATATTATCTGCCGTCGTCTGTACTCAGCTCCCTGATCTACTTGCATCACTGGTAATGTTCCTGTCAAGTTAATACACCAAGGTAATGTTCCTGTCTGGGGAACAGAGCACCGATTTTGATGCTGTCGGCTTTGTTTAAACTTGACATGATCCAAGGGTACAGACAGCGACTGTGTGTTCAGTCGGGTTGTTTCTGGTTAGAAGGGGGGGAAACAAGGCAGGGTTATATTTTGAAATTATATATTTTGTACATTCGGGAATGTGGCCTTGGCATGAATGGAGTCTGTCAGAAAGTCCTGAGCCTTAAAGGACAGAGATGGAGGGATGAGATGGTGGGAAGGAGTCAGCTCCCGCACCCACGGGGACGTAACTGAGCAGCAAGGGCGTCATGCCATTATTAGCAGAAATAAAGGCAATGTATAGAAATAAGCAATTTAAAAGTGCCCCTAGGATGTCACAGCAGAAAAATTAAATTGGAGATGGAGTTAGTCAAATGAAATGAGTGAGCGTTGGTAATGGCACAATGGCTTTGCTGCCGACAAGCTCACGGTTCGCAGTGGTGACTGGAACAGAGACAGCTCATCCAAAATGTTCCCTGGTGGTTGTGTCCTGAGGACCATCTTGTGAATAGGGTGGTGTTCCAGGTGCCTTCAGAGTTTGATCAAAAGCCACTGAGGTGTCTCCCTCAGTGTAACCTCATGGGCAGCATCAGATAGCACAGATAAACTCCTTGAGTGAAGGTGGTCCTGGCTTGTCTAGGTGAATCTGGCAAAGCCTGGTACAGAGCCACAGGCATTTTCTGAGCTGGTGTCTGAGCCTGCCCGTTGCCTGGAGTACCCTTCAGCAGAAGCCTTTGCCACCTTTGTTGTCCCCCTTCCCATATCTCTGCCCCTAGCAATGCCACAAGCTGGACTCACACAGACATCTGGGAGTTTCTCAGTCTGAGAGGGGGTTTCTGAGTAACTGAGATAGTCAGGAATGTGGATTTGGGATTTGCAAATCACATGCAAACTGAGGAGCCGTCTCCAAGGAATGCTAATTTATCCCATTAAAATTGGTGATAGGTAAAATGGAAAAATGAGCAAAAATGAGGCAGCCACCAGATAAAGCAGCCTTCTGTCCTGTCACAGGCAGGACAAGTTTACATGGATCTCAAGACTCCCTTTCGCAATGTTTTATTTGTATTTTCCCCGAAGTAAATGTCAAGTTTAGATAAATCTGAAGAGAAATGCTGGTTTCTGCCTAAAAATAGCAATCTGCTCTAAAAATCTGATTCACGTCTTGTCTGTTCTTTGACACTTGTGGCTCATGTGTCCAATGTTCTGCAGAGCTGAGCGCCTGGCGTGGTGATGTCAGGCTGATATCATCCAAACGCCGGTGCCAAGTTACATCAGAAGTTTAGGAATTGCTGACAGCACACTATAGCCAACTCCAGATGGAATATTTCCCTCTGGGACAACACTAATATAAAATAAAAAGCACAAAAGTATCCAAGTCACTTGTAATAACTCCGTCAGAGTTGGAGGTGCAAAGAGCGACTCCTGTTTCTCGCTGCCAGGCTGTGGCACAGCTCCATGTGCCGTATAGCAGCAGTTGAATGATTCCTTCTCCAGATAAAGTTTGTTTTCTCTAAAAAACCAGAAACTCTGTACACCAGCAGAGGCAGAATGTGCCGTTGCAGATCCCTGCTGTTGGAGACCGTGGCTCGTCTGACGTCGCTCGCTGATAAAGGGGGCCACGTCCACGCCTGAACCTTGTCTCGGGTTTTGTTTGAGCTGTGTTTTGAGAAATGCAGCAGCTGTTTCATGGCGTTGGTGCCAAGGCTTTGTTAGTGCACGGTGAGTTGTTCTCCTGGCACTGCGTCCTCATGGAAAAGCTGCAAAATGAAGGTTCCTGTTTTCCAGCCCAGGATCCTGGTCGCTGCTCCTTGGCTGGGCTTGGTGGACTCGCCTTGTTCGTGCTGGGCTGCAGGAGCTCTCTGGCAGGCAGTAAAACTTCCAACAAAGCCATTTCTGTTTCTCTCATTTCCTCTCCTCACCTTTCCTTGGCTTTTCCAATCTCCTTTCGACACACAGGCACAGCTTTACCTGGGTTTTTTGGAGGCCGATGGCTGTTGTAAGCACATTGGTGATGTTAGAAGCAGGTCGATGAGTCCATCGAAGGAGTGCTAGAAGGTTGAACCAAGCAGATACTTCTAGAATTTTTCCTGAAGTAGTTTAATTCAGCTTTGGGGCTTGGGCGGTTGGAGGTTCTCCATTTCTGAAGATAGTTGCTTAGAAACCTGTGCATTACTTGGATAGGTTTCTCTCAGCAGCAGGCAACAAATCCAGGTCATCAGCGTGGGACCTCCCTGCAGCAGCAAGGTCTGGCTGCTCAGCAGCACCGAAGCCTTTGAGCTTCCCTTGAGCTGGAGCTGCAGAGGATGGGTTGGAGCTACAGACCCGCACCGGTTGCTTTGGCCCTGAGGAACGGAGTAGCCAAAAGACACCAATCCAGGTAGCCAGCAAGGCAGAGTGGAGAAGGGTAAGGCCATGGACCAAATCATCCTGTTTCTGTAAAGCCTTTTCCAAAGAAGATTTCATGGTGAACATCAAACACAGGTGATTTACAGTATTTTCGCTGTGGCAAACATAAGTCATTTTGACGTGAAATACCTCACATTAACCTGCAACATTTCAAGTGCGGGCAGGTTAGAAATAGAACCCAAAAGCCCTGCATACCGATCCCTCTGCCATGCACATTACACACAGTCCTCCTTCTATATCTGTAGCTTACGTTTAAAACCCACATGGATCTGATTATAGATTTTGCAGTATGTTCTGCTTGTGGCAGCGAGATGATTTTTCTTTTAACTCTTGGTGTCTCTCGGCCCCAAGAGAAGAAAACTCAGCCATAATGTGGAACAGAATAGAGGATTAATTAAGTCCCCCAGCATTAACAGTGTTGCAGTTGGAAACCCATCAACACCTCGTAATCAGCCAGCCCACAGAAATGTACTTCAAAGAAAAAACAAGCTACGTCAGTTAGAAATAGACTCCCACCTTCTGCTCTAACTCCTACCAGAAGCAGCAGAGCATCGAGCCAGAGGAGCTGTGCTGAAGTGCTCAGAAAGTTAGGGAGAGGGGGGAGGAACCGAAAAGACTAAAATTAATACCAAAGACAAGTCAAAGGCAGGTCCTGCCCTTGGAACTATTTTCAGATTGAATGTGTCTTTTCCCACCCAACCATACTTTCTGAGTTAACAGAGCGCATTTTGTCAGGGAAGGAGCTGTCGGGTGTTACTTCTGCCCACCTGTAATGTTGGGAGCATCTGTAGCACTGGAAATGAGAGATCGTTTGGGTTTTGCACAAAGACCTTTGCTGCTAGGATCAGTCCTGGCCAAAAACAAAGCCCAGAATTAGTGTTTGTCTTGGAGAACGGGTGAACATTTTCATATACATTTTGCTTTCCAGTTGTTTCCAAGATCTACAGGCTAAAGTGGGATGTTAAAAAGAAAAGTCTCCATCTGAATGATGCTGCTCTGCGCTTGTTCAGACAGAGAGAAGCCACAAATCCGGGTGACATCCCATGGCTGACAGCCATCTGTCAGTGCCTCCAGCCCGATCCCTCGCTTGCTCTCCTGTTGTGGTGGAACCAGTCAAGGACCGGTTGCAGAAGCTCCAGTCAAGGCAGCGCGTACCTAAAAACCTGCCTTTTTTCCAGACGTTGTGCCCCTACTAAGGCACAACCTTGCAGCCTGTGGGGTTTGCAGGAAGGAAACCTGCAGGAGGTGCAGGAGTTGGTGAAGGTTTCATGTGGCAGGGCAATAAGTTTCTTTTCGGCAACACCTTGAACCTCAGTCGCACGTGCCTGTAAATTATTGAATGCTTATCGTGGTTCTCATCCAGTTTCACTGCAGCTTACGGAAATAAAAGCCAATAGTCCCAATCAACCTCCTTCCGTAACACTGAGATCTTTTCGTGGAAGAGTTGGCCTTTGAAGCAAACTAAAATGACAAGTAAGAGCTTCAGCTGTACTGGTCCAACCCATTTTCTTTGTTAACTTTACTTGTCGTGAGACACGTTTGGCATTTCAGGCACCATTGCTTCGGTACCCGGCAGGAAGACCTATCTCCAAATGAGACAAAACCCCACGGAGCACAAGGTGGCTCTTTCCCCTCACTGCTTTTCTCTCCCCTGCAGCTCTGACGGCGGCGGCCGGGCGCGGGAAGCTGGAGGTCTGCAGGCTGCTCCTGGAGCAGGGCGCCGCCGTGGCACAGCCCAACCGCCGCGGGGTCGTTCCGCTCTTCAGCGCCGTGAGACAGGGCCACTGGCAGGTGAGCAACATCTTCGTCTCGCTGAGATGTGGGGGGAGAAGACAACCCCCAGCTCTTGGGGAATCATCGGAGTGAGAAGCAGCGATATTGGTGCTTCAAACACCTCGAGCTGTTGCTGGCTCAGACAGCTTTTGTTTGAGTATTGTGTTATCTCACCATTTGGGAAGCAAATGGGATGCTCTGGACTTACAAGGTTATTTTATAAGGTCCTTATACCTCTGTTGCTTCTCCTGTGGCCTAATCTTGCAGCAGTCATCCCAGAGGGTGCCATGCCTTGGGAGGTGAGGTTTCAAGACATGGGGACTGCTCTGCTCTTGCTTGGCTCTGGTTTCTTCCCGACGTGTTTTCCCAACTGGTCTCTAATTATGAAAAGCGTTCTCGCTTTGTGTGTTGCAGATTGTGGATCTCTTACTCACGCACGGCGCTGATGTGAACATGGCAGACAAGCAGGGGCGGACGCCGCTGATGATGGCTGCATCCGAGGGACACCTGGGCACGGTGGAGTTTCTGCTTGCGCAAGGTTAGAGGACGTGCTTGGAAGGGGGGTGTTGGAGACCGGCCACGACGAGTCCCATCACGCTGTCTCCTGCACAGCTGGATTTTGTAATATTGAGGTTTGGGACTGTAATCCCACCGCTGGATCGGGCGGTGGGAGAGGTCCTCAGCACCGTGTCCAGCTTATTGGAGAGGAGGACTAGAATAGTGATAGCTTTAATCTTGGCTGTCCGTTTTGTTGTCTGTGTTTGGTGCTCATGGCCTCAAAACCACACATTCAATTTAGAAAATAATGCATCACGGGTGCTTTGAGCATTGAGTTAAGAATTCTACCCTTGAACCATGCTTGGAGCTTCCCCTTAGATGAAAAAGTCAACAAGCAATGAGGTTGAACCAGCAGCATCGCTATGGAACAGGCAGGTGAGGCTTAACCACAGGACCAGAGATTGGGACTCATTTTAACAGCTCCATTTTTAGTGCTAGCGTTGTCCGTGTTTTTGACACCAACACCAGCAGGAGGATAAGGCCCGACACAAGCAAGAATTCGATGTATTTATTGAAAACAGACCAGAACTGTTTTGGAGATAGCCTGCTCCTCAGCTTTGCACTCACAGATTCACTTTGCTCAGTGCTTTTGGTGTTTAATAACTCCCCTTCGCCAGGAGTTACTCACTCAATGGTTTTACTCATTGCTGCTGTACATTTGCAGTGAGTCAGAACAACACGCTGCCTGCAGCCTGTGCGAACACAAATATTCTTATTTCTCTACTTCTTTAGAGACCTTTTTTTATTTCCCACAAGTAGCCAATGTTTGTTTGGTTTGTTTTGGCTAGAAATAGCATTTAATCCTTGTTTTGTTATTTGATATTTTTATTCCAGGTAAGATCCCTCTTTGGGAAGGGATATTTTCTTCATATCGTAAGTGACTGTGTCTGACCTCGTAGCCAAAATGTGAGACACTTGAATATTTTATATAGTAGTTGTAAGAACGTCCTTTCACTGTAAAATTGCCAGGCTCCCGAGAATAAGTTTGTCATCACCTGTTGCCTGTCCTGAGCATAGGCCAGAGGGATCCTTCAGTGCTTCACCTGCATAGGGATGTGACAAAGATCACTTGGAGGCATGAGTTTCCTATGAATTAAGTCAATTAATTCTTTTCTGATGTTCTGGGGTTTTTTTAAATTTCAAATTAACGCTCTGTGTTTGAGCTGTGCCGTGGCCCTTTTTGCTGCTCGACCGGCTCTGCATAAAAGGCTTAAAATAAATGATTTATTGGTTTTTTTGCCAGACTTGAGAACTGTGCATGTTGCTTAGGACTGACTGGTTCAGTGGAGGATGAAAATACCAGATAATCCGATTTTGGCTGTGGGATGCACATAGTGTTTCCCTGGCTCTTGGAGCACCGAGAGCCCAAGAAGTCAAAAATACGACAACTGTTCTGCTTTAAAAGGTCCGTTCTTCTAAATAGCTTAATAAACTCCACTAAATATGCTGTAACACATGGTCCCACGGAGTTAGCTCAAGCCTGGGCAGAGTACAGTGATATATGGTGTATTTTAATTAAAATGGCTTTGACAATCCTGTTCAATGTTTCATTAAAATCAAAGTGTGTGAATCATAAGCCATAAGCATTAATTAGTGTGTTGCAAAGCAAATCTCAGTTGACTGTACTTGATTAACACAGTCAGCGTTTGTAAACACTTTTTATTAACAGAGTTGCAGTCATCAATCAATTTAAAATCCACGTTTTTGGGGTTACCTGCTGCTCTCGCCTCACAGCCAGAAGTAATGGGAGTGTGAACGGTGAATTAAACTTTCCCTTGAAGCCAATACTGATACGGATCTGTGTTACACAGGGCAAAGTAATTCCTGATGCTCGTTCTGTTTGGAGGGAGCTTGGTCCCGAATCTTGTTTTCCTGCAAAAATCAGTCAAAAATTTTGGCATATAATAGTAATAATTCCTGATGCTCATTCCGTTTGGAGAGAGCTTGGTCCTGAATCTTGTTTTCCTACAAAAGTCAATCCCAAATCTAGGGATGTAATAATTCCTGGTGCTCCTTCCATTTGGAGAGAGCTTGGTCCTGAATCTTGTTTACCTACAAAAATCAGTCAAAAGTGTTGCTACCTTGGGGTCCATGGGATGTGCAGATGCTGCTCCCCTCTGGCTGCCCCGTGGCTCTGACAGCCCCAGCCCCACAGGGGTGACCCTGCCCGGGCTGTGGATGCAGAAAGGATCCGACCATCCTGGCCTCTTCCTGCTGCTTTTTGATGCCCCAAGTGTCAATCGTTGGGTTTTTCCTGTCTGGCTCACTGTTGTGTGTCTGCCAGATAATGTATTCAATCATGAACTCTTGCTTTTAGCCAGTGGATTCTTTTTAGGGCAGGAACAGTCCAGCCCTTGCCAGAAGCAACCTGGGTTTGCCCAGACAAAATCCCACCACAGCAGGGATGGATCCGTGAGGTCACCCTAAGCCACTTCTTGCCCTCAGCCCATCAGCGTGTCTCATGTCTGACTGCCATGACACTAACCAGGACAGTCGGACATCCCCAAAAGAGCCAAGGACACCGTCGGAGTCAAGCAGAGGTGCTGCCAGGAGCTGTGGCTGCATCAGGAAGTGTGTGCTTGTCACCCATGATACGGTGTGTGGGAAGGCTGAGGGGTGATGTGGTTTTCCAGCCTTCCCAGAAGAGTCAGAGGGAAAACCCAAGAGAAGACTTTGACGGTTTGATTGCAAGCAGGTAGCTGGTACAAATGAGAAAGGATTAAGTGAGGCCTTATCCTGCTTTGGTGAGCAAAAGTTGGCCTTGGGTCAGTTGAGGATCATCTGGAGAGCTTTCACAGAGCTTTCACACAGCTTCAGAAGGGTTCCTGGGGGCAGCGTGAGAGAAGACTGGCAAGATGTCAGGAGCTGATGTTGGCATCCCTCAGCTCGTGCATCCCAGCTGCCTCGCAGCCAGCGTCCCTCCTTGGCACAGCCCATGGCCCCAGACACCATTTGCCTCCTCCCTTGCTGGCTCCCATGAGACCCGCAGTGAGCAGGTGGAGGTTTCCAAACACACCTGAGCAAACCCTCATGTGTTGTGCTCCTCTGCAAACAAGAAGCTGGGCAAGCTGAAGGACCTCTCAGTTAGCCGTGGGTGCTAATGGTGATACATCAGCTGGGATGAACAGGAAGGGGCAGGAAATTCACATCACTCCCCCGTTGCTGAGCATTCTGGAGCCAGCGAAGATCTCACACTGCAGAAAGACACCGCAGGGACAATTCAGCCCCATCTGCAGGCAGGAGCATCCCTCAGGTAGCTGTGATTCCTCACGGGAGCAGAGCTGGTACGGATCTCTGCTGCACGCTGGAGAGCCAGAGCCTGCGCCATGGCAACAGGAGTTGTCATCGTGCCACGAAGAGGAGCGTTCACTTGATGCTGCTGTTCGGATCTCGTGTGCGTATCCATATGCTGCATGAAGCAATGCTGACCCGTTGGTATGGCAGCGCGATTTCTTCATCCAAGAAAATGTCAAGTCCCTCTCTCCTTGGCTCGCAGTTGGCAGTAGTTTATCCCACAGCGTTGTATTTATATTGGGTAAAGTTCAGGGAGAAATACTGCTGGAAATTGTGTGGATTTGGGTAAAGAGGAGGGGAGCAGAGAGGGGAAAATCGGTGCTTTTTTAGAAGAACTGAGCTGAATTGACTTAAGTTACCCTTGATATGCCGTGACCTGCTGAAACAGCAAAATGATCTTCATCTCTGACTCATACAGGCTGGAATGGGTTTTGATGGGGAAAAAAAACCCAACAGTTAAAAAGAAAGATTGATGTCTCAGCTGAGGGATGTCAAACCCACCCTGCTGCTCAGATGTTTGCCAGAAAAGCCTACAGAGCTAGGTGTGAAAAAGTTTACGGCTTGGTGTGAATAAACTCATTTGCCACAGTTCCTACCGGTGCATTTGAAGTTGTCGTGGAGGGTGGGATCCGCGGTGGGAGAAATGCTAATAAAGTAATTAATAATTATGTACACGGCTCTCTACAAATAAGCTGTCGTCTCTAAGCGGATGGTTTGTTGATACAGCACAGAGCTCTTGAGTGAACTGGTGCTTGTTCTTCCAGGTGCCTCCATTTCTCTGATGGACAAGGAGGGCTTGACAGCCCTCAGCTGGGCCTGCCTGAAGGGACATCTGTCCGTGGTGCGTTCCCTGGTGGAGAACGGGGCTGCCACCGACCACGCGGATAAAAACGGGCGCACTCCGCTGGACCTGGCAGCTTTTTACGGCGACGCAGAGGTGGTGAGTGGTAATAGATGTAGAAATAAAAGAGCAACTGGTGTAAGACCCTCAAAACAGCACAGTTTGCTTGATGTTGCAATAACCAAATAGTGTCCTGGCCCTCCATACGTGCAAGGGCTTCCACAGAGGACAACACATGAGACTGGTGAACTGTCTGTCAGACCCTATCGATGTGGGTTTGGCCCAAGATTCTGCTGGTCACAGAATCACAGCATGATTGGGGTTGGAAGGGCCCTGGAAAGCTCCCCCAGTGCAACCCCTGCCACAGCAGGATCACCAGAGCAGTCACACAGGAACACGGCCAGGGCTTTGGGTGTCTCCACACAAGGAGACTCCACAACCTCTCTGGGCAGCCTGGGCCATGCTCTGGCCCCTCACACTCACAAAGTTTGTCCTCATCTTCAGCTTGAACCTCCTGTGCTCCAGCTTGGGACCATTGCCCCTTGTCCTGTCGCTGGGCACAACCAAGCAGAGTCTGGTCCCATCCTCAATGGTTGTACACCCCCAGCAGCACACGAAGGTCTCACCCAGGAGCAGAACTGACCACTGGGCTTCTCCTTGCAGGTTCAGTTCCTGGTGGACCATGGGGCCATGATCGAGCACGTCGACTACAGCGGGATGCGCCCCCTTGACAGGGCAGTGGGGTGCCGCAACACCTCGGTGGTCGTCACTCTCCTGAAGAAAGGAGCCAAGATAGGTAGGGACAAGGGGACAATCTGCTGTCGGCTCTGCCAGGCAGGACCCCGAGCGGTGGCCTGGCCTCCTAGAAAATAGAAATTTAATTCCGAGGCAGCCTCAGCCCCAGCCGGCGAGCCGCGCCTGCCTTATTCTCTTTATTAAAACGGGGAATATTTTTTCTTGCTGTCGTATTACTGAGCAAAGTTAATCAATAAACAACTGTTTCTTTGGCAAGGTCTTTCCGCTGGTAATGCTTTTTCTATCTTTACTAGTCTGAGTCGACAAGCGTACTATGTCCATGCATTGCTGTGAGCTGCTGCGTTCACTCGCTCTGTGTATGCTTCCAGACCTCAGTGTTACCTGCACTGCGCCACACAGCTGCTCACGTTACGTTTTCCTGTGAAAGGGGATTTTGCTGGTGCATTGGCTTCTTTGCTGCCTGCCTCTCACAGCTGCTTTTTTTCCTTTCTTTTTTTATTTTTTTTTTCACCTTCATCCATTTTTTTTCCCCCTCTCTCCTACAACTTTTTGTTTTCTCCTTTCTTTGAAGGTTGTCAGACGTTACCGAGTCGCCCACGAGGTATATCTCATTGCTGTCAGCATCAGCTTCGATCTGATAGCTTTGTCAGCCTTGCTTTCTCCTGTTTGATTTAGCCTGCATGCGTCCCAAACACCTCTAATCTTTTTAATTTACCTCACCTTCAAATAATTTTTTTAATGACTGTTGCAGAGAATAACTTGAACTCAAAAACTAACCTCCTTCCCCCAAAATGTACTGAATCTACTTATAGAATCTCGTTGACTTATGCTTCACCCACACTAATGAGTTGTCCCCAAATTTTTGCCACCCCTTCCCTCCCAGTGTCAGCCCTTGAGATAACGACTGGTTCTGCACAGCTCCCTGTGCAGAGCCCTGGTCCCCCCCACCCAACCGACGGCTTTGGCACCGGCAGCACTTAGACACCACCCTCCCTTGGTCGTATTTTCCAATTTAATGCATTTTCTACTCTAGTATTTCACATCTTGTGAAGCTGGTAATCACAATCCACTTAAACACAAAACGCCTATCGACAGTCGAACTGCAGATTTCCTAGTGCACTTCCAGAGATTCTAATTTAGAAATGCTTTTATGTAACCGCTC